CCCCCTCCCTGCTCGCCGCTTCCCTCCCAAGCGGCGGCTTCCCCCCCCCGGCTCCGAAGGAACGGTGGAAATGAACGTGGTGGGGAAGCCGTCTCCTTCAGCCCAGCTCGAGCGCCTGGACAGCCTCCTCGTCCCCACTTGGGCAAGTACCCCCGATTCTCTTGCTAATTCCTCCAGCGTCCTAGCTGCGCTCTGCCTCCACACACACACCCCTCCCGACCAGCAACGACAGCAGCTCCTGCTGCTTAAACCCCACCGGAGTGCTCCTTCTGCCTCATGCTCGTTCGGGCAGCCAATCTTCCCCCCCTGGCTGGGTGGGCTTTTTTCTCCGAAAGGCTATCCTCTTCACGTGGAACTTGAGGAGAGCCTCAGAGTTGTGCACGAGGGGCGGCCGGGCGAGGCGTGGGGGGAGAGGTGTCCAGCTCTGGGTTTCGCTTGTTTGGCTGTTGGCGGGTCAAAGAAAGGTCTCTGTGCTCTGGCCCCCCTCCCTGTTTGCCGCTCGCTGCTTCCCTCCCAAGCGTGCGCAGGGGACACTCTGTGAGTTTCGGGGGGATTTAAACATTCCCGATGTTTTTTCCAGAATTTGGATTTTTGTGCACACGTGGGGACCGCCCCACGTGCGCACAAACCTCTCCCTCCTCCCAGGTCCCCCCGATGTGCGGATTTAAGTATCCGCACACCAGGGGGCGACTTCAGGATTAGATATATAGATAACCCTGCTCCTGCCTGCGAGCAGTGCCGGATTTACGCATAAGCTAAATAAGCTACAGCTTAGGGCCTCGCAATCTGCTGGGGCCTCAAATAAAAACACAATATAAAAATGATTTCAAATATTAAAAAGGCGTATATATTTTAAATTTTTCTGAGACCAGCTGATGTAATTTAAAGCAGTGGGGGGCCTCTGGGTTTTGTATAGCTTAGGGCCTCAGCAAGTCTAAATCCGGCCCTGCCTGCGAGTGTGAGTTTCTTTTATTTTATCAGTGCCCCCTGACTTATTTAAAGGCCCCCTGAATTAAGAAATCCTGGCTATGGGCCTTACTCTGAATGACAGATCACGGAGCCAACTGATTTGGAAGCCTGTTGGAATGTTCAGGGGAGTCCATGACCAAAACAGATTTATATATAAGGAGAGATACTGTGAAATTCAGAAGTAGTATCAGGTATATATTTTAGCACATTTTTCTGTCTCTCTGTTCAGCTCTTAGTCTACTCTTATTCATTTAAGAATTGCATTTACTCCTGCATTTAAGCATTGAATGAAGTATTTACATGCCACTTCCCATTTCGGACCCAAAGTGGCAAATAGTACAAAAATACACTGTATACAAACAGGAAAGGGGAAAGGTCTTCCAAGTTCAGGGCAGGTCTTTGTCTTTCTGCCAACATATCTTACTCCACTGGCTCACATCACAGTCTCTCACCTCTAGGTCAGTTCAGGATTAAAAAGCTTTAAAATGCAAGGAAACCTGGAGGAGAGGAAAGGCTAAAAACCTTAGAGAAGCTGGCCGTTGTTCCATATTACTTCCTTCCTGGAAAGCACTTGTGCTTCTTACATTCTTGTGAAAAGAGAGGCATAGTATCTGGCCTTGGTATTTTGGAGAGCTGTTTATTGAATTTCATGGTGCTTGCAATTATTGGCATTTTTGCCTGTCTGTATGATGTGCTTTTTAACTGAACAAGAGTATTTCAAGCACTTGAAGTGTCTTAATACATAATGTGGTCACAGAACCTGGCAAATTATCTACCTGGGTAAAATGATGTTTTGTAATCCCAAATAATATTATGAAGATTTTTTCCCCCTTTCATTGAAGCAGTGGATAAGCTTTAAATGCCTTCCCCTTGAAATGTACCCATGGGAAATAAACTGTAGTTTTTGAATTAAATGTCAAGTTTAATGTTGCCTTACATAGTTATCGTTAGGCAAGTCAGAAAAGTGAAAAATCATGTCGATAAAATTGGTATATTGGAAACGTTCAATAAATAATATACTACAATGAGAATAAAGAATGGAATCTGGTTATCTGAAATAGTTCAGACTTTTTCTTGACATTTGAGAGGCATCTAACACTACAGAGGTTTACTTTTAAAAATTATTTTCACAGGCCATCTATTTTAGAAATAACAACATTTAAAATACATAACATCCAAATACATATGGAGAATGTGATTTCAAAGATTGTGAGCAGGTAGTCACATTTTCTGTTGCTAGCAGTGAAAGCCAGAGCTCTGCAAAAACATTTAGGGAAGTTCTTGTTTAGTGCAGATTCTTCCTGGAGTGGGATTTGATGTGTATAGGAGAGGAACGTTTTTAGCCACTTCAGGCTACCTTGAGTATAACAGTCATGCTGCTTAAATCAGGCTTGTAAATAATCGTTCACCTGTCACTCATGGCAAACAAGGACTGCCTTCAGGCTATCTAGCAATGGAAAATGTTTGTAAACTGAAATGAAAACTTGCTTCTTTCCATTCTCTTTTGTACAGGCTGCCAATGTGTCCAATACAGGAAAGTGTAACTTCAGTAACAGTAAAACTTTTTGTTGGCCAGTTGGTTTTGATTTTTGTTTGTTTGTGTGTGTAGTTATTTTTGTTGGACTTATTTAGAAGCAGTTCTTTAAATGATATTGGATCTAAAAAAAGTTAACTCTAGTGCAAGTCAATCCTAAAAGAAATCAACCCTGACTGTTCCCTGGAAGGCCAGATAATGAAACTGAAGCTCAAATACTTTGGCCACCAAATGAGAAGGGAGCAATCACTGGAGAAGACCCTGATGCTGGGAAAGATTGAAGGTCAAAGAAGACGGGGACGGCAAAGGATGAGATGGTTAGGCAGTGTCATAGATGCAACGAACATGAAGTTGAGCAAACTTCAGAGTACGGCGGAAGACCGGAAGGCCTGGCGTGATCTGGTGCATGGGGTCGTGAAGAGTCGGACTCGACTGTGCGACTGAACAACAAAAGTGCAAGAAAGCTTATGCTCTTGTTTACTATGTAACATGTAAATGGCCATTAATTGCAGCTGGTTGGGCCGCACAAAATACAGCTTGCATGTTATACTTCTGTGAGTACAGAGATATTGAAGAAAAGGATTCAGTGTCTGGGAACATGCGGGGCATCCAACCCTGGCTCTGATACCAACCTTGATACCACCCACAGACATCCCTTAGAGACCACAGATGGTGGCCTTACTGATGTGTCTGCTAGTCGGATTGATCTCACCAGCTCCAACTAGCTGTTGGAGACACACATCCCTTGATGCAGTGGTGGTTCAGCAAAGGGAAAGCCCACCTGGAGAAAATGTAGACAAGGAGACTCAGCTGGGGGGGCAGTCCCAACAACACCACAAGACTGGAATGAGGGGTGAGACATGCAGGGGTTGTGAAGGACTATATATTCCCTCACAGCTTTGGGCTGAGAGGAGGTAGTTGGGGATGCTTCCATGCCCAAGGCTAGAGAGAGAGAGAGAGAGAGCACATAAGCAGTGTTCCCTCTAAGCTGAGTTGGTGTGAGCTAGCTCACAGTTTTTTAGCCTCTAGCTCAGAATTTTTTGTCTCAGCTCAGGAAGGACGGCTCCAGAGCAAACTGATTTATGCAGTAGGCAAATCACTTGCTCACAACTTTAATGCCCGTAGCTCACAAGGTAGAATTTTTGCTCACAAGACTCCACATCATAGAGGGAACATTGCACAGAAGTGGTAGAGAAGAGAGCATCCTGACAGGAGAAGGACAAGGTGAACCTGAGAATCCCTTCCCTTCACATCTGAGACCTGAGAAATCTGGATGGAGAAGAAGAGGAGGACTTGGGTGTAGAGTGGTGCATAATGAAATTGCCATGCCAAAGATATAGACAGAAATGGCTGGTTTGGGTCATTACTGTGAGTTTCCCTAACATTATTAGGAATCTGGGTTTCTTAGTGAAACTCAACTACTCTCCCCGAAACATTCCTTCCTTCCTTCCTTCCTTCCTTCCTTCCTTCCTTCCTTCCTTCCTTCCTTCCTTCCTTCCTTCCTTCTACTCTCCCCGAAACATTCCTTCCTTCCTTCCTTCCTTCCTTCCTTGGAAAACAGAGACCTGGGGAAGCTTGTTTATGGGCCTCTAGAATGCAAACTTTTATTATTATTATTATTGAACTCTCCTAAAAAGGAGAGAATTTTATTGCTTTAAATTTACAGAAAAAGGGAAGGGTATATAGAGGGATTAAGAAAAGGTCGAGTGATGAGTATATTAGTATGTTAATCTTTTAGCCGTATTAATACAGTCCATTTCTCCACTGTGAGTTGTCGATCTTCTTGCTTCTTTACCTGTCAAAGATAAAAGTTAGTTAGATTAGTAAAGTCCTTTTAGGTTAGTACTAATATGTCCTTGCAGCACAGTCAAAGGTTCATCAGATGTTGGGGCGCCTTCCTTTCTTCTCTCTTAGGTTATAGGAGATGCCTTCCACCGCTCCTTTCTCCTCCAGTTCTTCGTCACCTCCTTCCCGGTTCTTCACGTGCAAGCCGTAGTGCAACTGTGGCAGCAACACATACTGCTTTAATATAATTTTTAACAAAATAACGGCATGCATATAGAGCAACGGAATATACAACAAATTGTATAATTTCATTTAGTTTGGTTCTGAAATTGAAATACCCTATGCTATGTCTTGCACATGTGGAAGTCACGGTCAATCAGTGCAAACAGACAAGGAATTAATTTGAGCACTTCTGCCTGCCCACTTCTATGCTTTGTGCACATACAAATATATTCTGTGGGACCTAATCCTTGGTTTGCCCCACCAGCATTAAAATAATTAACTTGATTCTGTGCTGATCATTACTGATCTGTTCTGTGCTGATCTGCCCTGTCTTCCCCTTTCTCAATAGCTACTATATTGTCACTATGTCTATGGAAAGTTTTCTTGTGTTACTTAATGGCTCAACAATCAATAACTAGTGGTCAGAAAGGTAAGGGAGCAGAAAGAGAAAATTGCTGTTCTTGAACAGAAAAAAGCAAAGAAATCAGCAATTAAGAAAATGTAGGGCTATATTTTTAATAGATTTGGGGAATACCATAAAGTGCCCCTATCTTGCAATAATTATTTGTCAAGGCATGCAAAAATTTTAGCCTGTTCATTTACATTGTCTTCTTTAGTTTTCTGTACTTGATTTCATTTCCCTTTGGTGATGTTATCATGTAGCCAGAACTGACAGGCTTTGTGTCATCATCATATTATTAGCCTGTTCACTAAGTGATCCTGGATTGGCTAGCCTCCAGAAAGCATTACCCTCACACTAAGTGGACTTTGTTTGACTTCTGATATAGTTACATCACTAAATGTGATTGACTATATAGCACTGTTATGTCACTTAAGAGTTACACATGTTTAATAATAGGAAAGACGAAGGTGAGTAAAAGAAAGAAGCTTAGCTTAACACATATAAGTGATTTAGTGTAAAGAAGCACTACCTAAAGCAGCCTTTTCTTGGAGCCAAGCTCATTTTTTCAGTCTTCAGGTTTTTGTATTTAATAGCCATATTTTCTAATTATTGCTACCACAAAATCCAGCCTTAACCTGTTCACAGTTCCTTGTAATTTTGTTAAAGCTGTGAAAAAATGTTGGGGTATATAAATAAATATAGTGGCAACCAGTGTTCCCTCTAAGCTGAGTTAGTGTGAGCCGGCTCACAGTTTTTTAGCTTCCGGCTCACACATTTTTGTCTTAGCTCAGGAAGGATGGCTCCAGAGCAAACTAATTTCTGCAGCAGCCAAATTGCTGGCTCACAACTTTAATGCCAGTACCTCAGAAAGCAGAATTTTTGCTCACCAGACTCCACAGCTTAGAGGGAGCATTGGTGGCAACTCTGGTGTTATCACCAAAAGAAAAGGTAACTTCTAACCCTAGCTTAACTTCTCCCCAATTGCTCATAATTCTATTATTGCTTTTAAAAGCTCAATTTAATTAAATATTAAGGCCAGTACAGAAAGCAACTTGCCAAAGAATGGATTTGTTTACCACTGCTGAATGTTGTAAAGTTAACTTTACATATAAAGAAAGAAGAACTTCATGCACATTTATTTTTATGTCATACAATGAAACATTATGTTGAAAAATGATAAATAAAGTTTGGATCGGATTCAGCCAGCATTTCTGCTCCATGTTGGTCAATTATTATTATTATTTCAGCCTCCATTCCACATAGTCTGTGCAGATACCTGTATCCAGAACATACAACATAATGAACATATAACATGATGAATTAGCATACGACATAATGAACACCTTCATTATGTTGTATGCTAATTTACTGCTCACCCGCTACCTATATGTATGGACTGGTAACTTCCATTTCATTGGATCTGAATAAGTGTGTGGACACACTAAAGTTTATACCTTGAATAAAACTTTGATGGTCTTAAAGATGCTACTAAACTCTAAGTAGGGGACTATCTGAAAAAAGAAAGACATACCAGCATTTTGAGACACTTACTTTTTTAAAGGAACAGCTCTCTCCAGTGTTCCAGAAAAATCAGTTTTGAAATTCATAAAATAAACACCCGAAACAAATTCATCATTGATTAACATGTACTGTTAATAAAATCATACATCTATATCAGGCAATGCAATTTATTATACTAATTTCAGGATGAGCTTGACTATGGCGCTGCTCAGATGTTGTAACATTTAACGCTGAATTTTAAAGGAGTACTTTAAATAAGGTGAGGAGGAATGAACCATGAAGAGCCTTAGAGGCACGAGAATGTAATTGTTCCTTTGAGAACTACATTTAATCCATGTCCTGAAGAACTATTTATACCTCCTGTATGAGAGTTTGTTTTATAAACAGATCTTTTATCCTTCTCACTTATTGAAATGGATTATCTAAAATGGACTTTGATGACGGTAATGAAAGAACATCTCTTGGGAAAGATAATGAGATCAGGAGGTCCCTTAGGCCTCAGAATGGAAAACTGCCCTTAGAGAGTGGTTGAACTTAGTTTTATAGTCTTCTACCCACCATAGGATTATTAAATGTTTGCTTCGGTTCTCTAGGGGCAGTTTAAATATTAGAAATGTGTTTTTGCTCATTTTCTTTTTAAAAAGCAAAATGGCTGGCAAAAAGAGACGTTTATCTTATAAAAAGGTGGTTGTGCATCATCTGGACATTCTTCTTTGAGCTAAAACCAGTGTTTTTTCCAATGGAGATTTAATATTTCAATATCTTTTCAGGCTGTGAGAAGACAAAAGATTCTTGAACAAAGTATCCACTCTGCCCAGGAGATTGACAAAACCCTTCAGTTAATCCAAGAGTCCCTGACTTTCATCGATCGACAGTTATCAGGTTACATTGCAGATAGAATTGATGCAGCACAAGTACCTCAAGAAGCACAGGTAAGATTTATGAATATAAGTCTTAAGTAGTTTTGCCATTAAAAAGGCCAATAAAACTCTCTTTGACTTTGTCTGATTGGTGGGGGTTTCTAGAATTTTCAGTGCTCTGAATTAGGAAATTCAGTTTGCAATCCATATTTCCCAGATTACCACTTGGAATACAACAGCAGCAATACACACAGTAATATAGATCTTCTAAAGGTCAGATTTATCTTGAAGTACAACTGTGTTTTACATTCATTTTATCTTTCCTTATACTAACACAAAATTATTTTACGACATTAAATCAGAAGTCATGTTGGTGAAGGTTGTGCTATAACCTTAAAGTAGCAAAATTGATACTGTTAAATCCCCAGTGCTATTTTATCATGCCATCAGCTGCTCATAAACTTTACTGCTTTTAGTTGACTTCCTAGTAAAGCTGATTAGTTATCCCATGAATTGAGTTATGCCATCACAGATACTTTTTTAACTACTTGGATTGATATCCAAGTTTGGATTGATATCCAAGGTTGATATCATAATCTACTATGAAAGGAATTGTGTAAATATCCTTGTATTTTTCCTTCTTAATTTTGTATGTAATGAATTATACTTTACTTGAAGTGAATGCACTTTTCTGTTTAATACTTCATTTAATGATACACTTTTTTTGTAAATCGTGACTCAGATGTGAATGTTTTCTATTGCTTGAATATGTACATATTTAAACAGTCATACTCTTCACAAAAGGCAACCCCCCCACACACACACATCTAAGAAATATGTTGGTGATAATTTTGGTACTGTTCTAAAGTTTTCTAAACTGTAAACTCTATGCTTTTGGACCTAATGTATTTTGCTTAAAAAAAAAAAACTTTAAAGGATAAGTTTGATGATGTCTCAGCTTCAAGTTTAGCATTGCATCCATCTGGTGGTGACACTATGAAATGCAGTCATCCAAAGAATGAGTGTGTGCTATTTAAAAATAAGTAAGAGTTCAATTTTTGTTAACAAAAAAAAAACTAAATAAAAAAAGAAAGCCAGCATTACTGCTACATCAAACTTAAGATGATGCAGTTGCTAATTAAAAAACAAACAAACATAAAAGCAATTATGTAATTATTGGACTAGTTGCATTTATTGGACTGTTATACATGATCAAATCTTTTAAACAGTGTAGCATTAGATGGAACTTCCATGGTATGGCAATTGCTATGACAAGATGCATTTCCTTCCTAATAATAGTAGTACCATGGAATTTAATGATAAAGACTTTGATCCTGTTAAAAAATGTCACTGACAGAAAAAGATTTTATCAGAATAAAATGGAAATTTTGAGGGGGGAAATGGAAACCCTAAACTTGCTTTACTCATTTAACATTTCTTTTAGAAAATGAAGTCCATAATATATTTAAATTCCATCAATATGGCAAATAGTGAAATTTGAAATGCTAAATTATGGATTATGCTTTTATGGGGGAAAATTGCAATATATAAGACATGGTTGTGAACTGCTGCACCCTGTGCTACCATAGCTCATATATCATAATTTTTTAACATTTAAGAAGCATGAAAAATAGAAGTTGAAGGTTGAAAACAAATTCTGTAATAAACATGGATGCTTTTTTTCAATTTATGGCAACTGCCATTTACAAAAAATCTCTCAATGTTGAAATCTACTGTATGATGAAACATTCATTCTGTGTAATTGGCATCATCGCTTGACTTCCTTTGTCAGGTTAATTCTATGCCTGGTGGAATATTCAGAGTAAGACTTAATATGATATTTGGTTGCCTTCTCTTCCTATTATTATTATTTACTGTATTTATAGTTTACCTTTCTCACTGATATTCAAAGTGGATTGCACAATGTAAATCGATAATATTCCATATGAAAAGACAACTAATAAGCACAGTGTCAGTAAATATAACCAGTAGGAGGATACATCAAATAAGCAATATATTAAGATAAGGATTACTAAAATTTGTATAAGGGTAGGATATTAGTCATGATACAGAGTGTAGATATAATGAAATAAAATGGTTTGACTTCAGTAGAAAACAATGAAATGACATGCAGTGGTATAATCCACAATCCCTTACTCTTCATAAAGCACCTTCCTGAACTATGTCATTATAGTTTAGTCCTAATACATTTATAGGAAAGTTATCCTGAGCAAGCCTGTTTTACATAATCTCCCAAATAGCAGGAGCATAGGAGCCTTCCTGACTAGGGATGGGCACAAACTGTAAAAATGCAGTTCAGTTTGTGATTTGTGGCCAAACCACAAACTGAAGTGGACCAGTTGGCTCTCTAACAAAAGCTACAAAAACAGCTGAGCTGCAGAAGCACTCCCAAACATTCAGCTGTTTCCGGCTTTCTTTCTGAACCAGAAAGCTAGAAAATGGGGAGCAGCCTGTCTGGAGTTGGAACTGGGGAACGCATCAACAGGGGAAGCTCCTGTCCATCACCTGGTGATCCAGGAGAGGCTAGGTGTTTACCCAGGCAGGGGAGGTGATGCTGGCAGGGAAGGAGGCCGCTCCATCCCAGGGACCACATGGATTGGGGATCCTCCAGTGGTAGCAACAAACTCGGCCCAGCAGGAAGCGGGCTGGCCATGGGAGATGCCCAACCCACAAGGTCCCCCAGGCTGGAGCGGCCTCCTTTCCTGCTGGCACCAACTCCCCAGCCCAGCCCTGGGCTACTGGGATGGGCGTGGCTGTTGTACTGTCACTGCAGCTCACAACCACATCCCTGCTGCTGCTGCACAGCTCACCACAGTTGTCTCCTCCACATTGCCGCCAATCACCTCAGTTGGCTGCCCCTTGTCTGCTGCCAGCCCCTCCTCCTCCACCAGCCCTTTCTCTTTAATCGGCCTTCCTGTGTAAGGGAGGTCAGGGTGTTGGGGGCAACCTCAGGGGAGGAGGGGAGTAAGCATCTGAGCTCTCCTGGATCGGTTGATGGATGGGGCCTTTCCATGTGAAGCAGTACCAAGCCCCAACCCCAGACAGGCCGCTCCTGGTTTTCCAGTTTTCTTGTGCAGTCCCTTTAAACTTCAAAGAGCCTGCACAAGAAAACCTGAAACAGCTGAGCACTGGGGAACACTCCCAGCCACTCAGCTGTTTTTGCAGTTTGCTGCTGGAGCAGAAAGCAGGGGTTTAAAGGGATTCAGAGTCCCTTTAAATCCCTGCATTCTGCTCTGGCCATGAACTGGCACAAACCCCACAAACTGCCTTTAAAAATTCTGGAAGTTTGTGACAGTAGACCTTTCTCAAACTTCAGTTCACGAATCATGAACAGGGAAAAATTAATCACATATTTTGCTTCATGGTTCAGTTTGTGCCCATCCCTATTCCTGACTTCCTCAGGCAGGCCATTCCAGGAGGTGGGGGCCACAACAGAGAAAACGTGTATGGGTGGTTTTTGATCTTGCTTGTTTGCAGGATAACACCTACAGTCAGCCCTGAACACATGAGTGGTGCTGTAGTGGCAGAGCATAGAGGAGATCCTGGAGATATGAGGGTCCAAGGCAGTACAGGGCCTTGTACCTTTATATATGTTGTGTTATTTCCTGTGATGTTTCTTCCCCTTTTAATTTTTCTATTCCTATTCCAGGGAAGATGATGTTACTTTCATTTTTTCCAGCAAATTAATTTTCAAATGTTCTCCAAGAAATCTGCTATAATACCTTAACTCACTGTAATGTCTGCCACAACAGTTTATGAATTCTGTTGGCCTACTTTCCAAGCTAGTGCAAAGGATTGCAACCTTGTACTGCAATCCTCAATGGAGTATACCCTTCTAAATCAATTTAAGTAGAATTAGACCCTTCTAAGTATATTGCACTGTTAGTCTGTTTTGCCCTTCAGATGAAGAAGAAGAAAAGAAGAGATTGGATTTATACCCTGCCCTTCACTACCCAAAGGAGTCTCAGAGCGGCTTACAAACTCCTTTTCCCTTCCCCTCCCCACAACAGACACCCTGTGAGGTAGGTGGGGCTGAGAGAGCTCTGACAGAAACTGCTCTTTTTTCAAGAACAGCTCTGACAGAACTATGGCTTGCCCAAGGTCATCCAGCAGGTGCAGGTGGAGAAGTGGGGAATCAACCCCGGTTCTCCCAGATTAGAGTCCGCGCACTTAACCACTACACCAAACTGGCTCTGTATGTATATCCCAATCACTTGAAACAGCCACCTTTTTGGTGACATCACAATGTACTAATTTCATTTTTGAATGGCAAGGTTTGATTATAAACTGTTGATAAATCATAAGAACATAAGAAAAGCCCTGCTGGATCAGACCAATGGTCTATCTAGGCCAGCATCCTGTCTCACACAGTGGTGAACCATTTCCTTTGGATGGCCAACAACAGGGAATAGAGGCCATGGCCTTCCTCTGATGATGTTTTCTGGCACTGATATTCAGAGGTTTACTGATTCTGAATGTGGAGGTGCCCTTTAGTCACTATGGGTAATAGCCACTGATAGACCTATTCTCCATTAATCTAATTCCCTTTATGCCTATGACCATCACTATATCCTCTGGCAGTAAATTCCATACTTCAATCACTCTCTATGTAAATAAGTATTTCCTTTTGTCCGTCCTGAATCTGCTTCATCAACTTCAACTGGAGTCCTAGTATTTGTGGGGAGGGAGAAAAAATATATTTTTGTCATCTCTCTCCATCCCATACATAATTTTATAAACCTCTATCATGCGGTGGCTCAAGTGGTTAAGACGCTGAACTGCAGGCTGTGGAAGGTCAGTAGTTCAGCAGTTCAAGACCCGGGTGCCGCAAGACAGGGTGAGCTCCTGTCTCTAGTTCCAGCTCCTGCCAACCTAGCAGTTCTAAAGCAAGAAACTGCAAGTAGATAAATAGGTACCACTTCGGTGGGAAGGTAACAGCGTTCCGTGCGCCGTGGTGTTTAGTCATGCCGGCCACATGACCACGGAAACGTCTTCGGACAGCGCTGGCTCTTTGGCTTTGTAACGGAGATGAGCACCGCAACCCTAGAGTCGGATTTGACTGGCTTTCGAGCAAGGGAACCTTTACCTTTATCTTTATCATGCCCCCCAGTCATTTCTTCCTAAACTGAAAAGTCTCAGACTCTTCAGCCTTTCCTCACAGGAAAGGTGCTGCAAGCCCCTCATCATCTTGGTTGCCCTCTTTTCTGCAATGTCCTTTTTGAGATATGGTGACCAGAACTGCACACAATTTTCCAAATGAGCCACATTCTCTATGCAAAGGCATTATAAATCAGTCATTTTATTTTAAATCCCTTTTCTAATAATCCATTTTCCACCACTGTAGCACACTGGGTTGATAGTTACATTGAGCTATCCACTATGACCCCAAGATCTTTTCCCCTTTCAATTTCAGCAAGTTCAGACCCCATTAGCCTATACTAGAAGGTGGGGGGGGGGGTTGTTCCAGTGTGTAGCACCTTACATTACCAACACTGACCTTCATTTGCCACATTGTTACCCACTCACCCAATTTGTAGAGATCCTCTTGGAGTTCTTCACAGTCATCTTTGGTTTTCACCATCCTGAATAACTTTGGGTTGCCTGCAAACTTGGCCACTACACTACTCACCCCTACTTCCCTAGATTCCACTACTTACTTCCCTCCATTGTGGGAACTGTCCATTTACTCCTACTCTTTGCTTCCTGTCATTTAAACAACTTGTCAAAACCCTTTTGAAAGTCCAAGTATACAGTGTCTACACCCTTGTCTACATGCTTGTTTACTTTCTCAAAGAACTCTAAAGTGTTAGTGAGGCCATGATTATTTTCTCTCACTTTTATCATTATCTACTTTTTGTACCAAACTTGATTGCCAACGGTATGATTACTTCATCATATCCTACATTGTTGTATTTACTTATCAATTGCCTAATGGTAGCTGCTGTAAGATTAACAAAACAACATAGTCTCTATCGTAGGTTTATGGACTATAAAACAGACCTGTTATACACCCTCTACATCCACTCCAAAAATAAATCCAGTGGTTGGGTTATTTATATCATTTCAGGGTTTGTTTCATCCATCCCTTATACAACTGATGTCACTGTGCTAAATCATAGCAGATATAGCTTATGTTTTCTAACAGGTTTTTTAATCCATCAGGTGGTAAACATCATCTTTATAGTCTGTTAGTCTAAGAGAGATATTTTTTGTCATATAACATTTTTTATTTTTCAAAACAAACATATAATTGGGGATACAGTAGTTCATATTGATCTTTTTTCTATTACAGTACCTCATACAGTAGTTAAATCTGTCTCATTTTTCCACCATAAATTGATTATATAGAGTTTGCAAATATATGAATATACAGTCTCTTATTTTCTACTAGAATAAACTTTCCCTAAACATGCTATTAAAGTTTTGAATTATATTGTAAAGTGTGTGACTATTCTAAATACAAGTATATTAGGATCTTACTCCATCAAAAACATCTGGGTTTCCCTCAATATATAAATGATGTAGTCCTAAGAAGGAGGGAATTCCCTCATACTTTTCCAAACTTTTTATAGGTATCAGCTTTTTCTTGATTTTCTGGTTCCTCCTCTTAAGTTTTAAAGTCTTGATTCTGTGTCTTTCTCCTTTATAAGTGTAAAAATTGTCTTCTGGGAACAGCCATCTATGTTCCCGCTTAGTAGTAGCTTGTAATTCCATAAACTGTTGTTGTTGTTGTTGTTGTTGTTGTTGTCTCAGAGATGGTACGGAAGTAACTTTTATAGAGTCTCTGGTACATTTTTGTAAAGGTTGTATTTCTCTTTGTAGGCATAGATTCTATTTTATAAGTCCAGTCATCTTGCTTTTAGGTTTCTTCTGTGTTTTCAAGGCAGGTCTTTTTTCCTCCTCTTTCCACGCTGTCTGGCTGTTTCCCTCTTAGTTTTGAGTTGTTGCATCAATACTTGGATTTCTGTCTGTACTGAATGAAAGGCTTCTTCAACTGCTTTTTTAATGACTACAGCGAGTATATTTTGAACTATATTCAAAAAGTCTTTCAAGGAAACCTGAGTAGGTTTATTGTCCATAGAATCTGGTGTAACTAACAAAAATGCCTCTGGGGTCTTTTGCAATTTATCATTACAAATCATTTTTCAAAAATTGTGTTAACACCAAAGAGTCTCTATAGATTTTTTTCCCAAGCCAAGTTTTACAGAGAACAATTTTAGAGAGTGTATGTCAGCAACTGTTATGGTCTAGACAAAGCTAACACAGGGTGAAAGGCTTATCAGTTGTTTACATTCCAAAGCAATATAGTCAGAAGAAAGTGGAGTTTTACAATTTCAATAGAGATAAACATACATTATTATGGGAACTAAATACATCAAAAGTTCAGAATAAGATCTATTAAAATATAAGCCTTTATAATTAAAGTAATAAATTATAACAGATCCCAAAGTTCAGTATTTATTTCAAAGTCTTCATAAAAAGGACAAGAAGATTTATTAGGCTCTCACTAAAGTTCAGAGTGGTAGAAAAGGTAATTCTTGAAGATATCAATTGGACAGGGTGCTCTCTCGTTTTTTTCGCCCAGTAGATTATTTATACAATTAATTTTAGATCCTTTTCTTAGCCGTGGTAAAGGTAGGGGGTGTGGAAAAAAGATCTTCACCCCTCCTAGTCTTTTTAAACTATAAAAGGGCTGACATTATATAGTAGAATTTCAGGTAAAGTTGCTTTAAGAAGTACTCACAGTGATATGCTTCATTGATATTGTGGATGAGGTGCAAACTTTTAAGTCCTTCTTGGTGGGAAGCGACAGCTAGGCACTCATGGCTGCCATGAGTGCCCTTCTTCGTTTCTTGCTGGAGACAATCCACGAGCTTCCAGTCACCTGTCGCTACAGGCGGGGGGCCCATATCACATCCCTTGCACTGCACCACCCTCCAGGGAGTGCAGCAGAGCTTGGAAGCCCGAGTCTCCTCTAAAGATAACGAGAAGCCGGCAGTGCCTGGGAACAAGTCCCGGCTCCATCTGACTCACGGCGCTGCAACCCAGAACTCAGTCTAAGCGAGATATTGGCTCTTTCTGCACTAACATCTCACTGTAACTTATTCCGGAGAATCCAAGCAGTTGAGCCTTTAAGGTTAACTTTGTATTTTGTGTCCCTGCCCTCTGGACTATTCTTTTTTTCTCCAGTCTATTTTTTGGATGCATTCTGCATCTACAACCAAAACTTGCATTTTTTGCTTAATTGTGGTTAACGTCACCTGTGACCTGTGGAGGGATGGGCCTTCCACTCTCCTCCCCATGTCTACCCTGCTGTGTAGGCTTGCCAGTCCCCCACCCCCAAACAGCCACATCCCCATGTGACTTCCATGACATAATAATGTCACCCGGAATTGGCATCATCACACTGGGGATATTGTGCAGATATACTCTGGTTTAAGGGCAAAACGCTATGGTTTTAAGCCGGTTTTACCATAGACTTTTGCCTTTAAACCAGCGTGTCCCCATGCAACATACCTGGTGTGATGACATTACTTTCGAGTGATGTCAACCCATCCCAGAATGTCCCCCAAATCCCCTCACTGGAGCAACAAGGGGACCTGGCAACCCTACTGCTTGAACTCTGTGCTCCCTGCTTGCTTGCTGCTCTCCAAACCTCATCCAGTCTCCAAGCAAATCTACCTCAAGGTTATCCTGCCTGCCCACCCAGATGCCTTTCCTGCTTTGTGCCACCAAAAGGCCCTTGCCTTGTTAGTCTGCTTCTTCCTCTTGGTACTGTCCTTCAAGCTAAGTAGCTGCACTCTCAGATTCTTTTACTGAATGCCGCTGTCTGTATTACTGTGTATTTGGGTTCTTTCCTATAATTTCTGCCACAAGTTTTAATAATAAATATGTGTCTCTTTCACTACCTCAAAAAGAAGCACCCTTTATTTTATCTGTTTGAAATTTGGGAATGGGTGTGGATGAGGTTTGTTCAGTTTGAATGGAAAACCATAAAGGTACAGACCCAAGAGGAATGGGGTCTTCCACTGAAACCAATGAGAAATAAAAAAAAAATCATGAAATAAAACAACAACAAAATAAAGATACAAAACTATATGAAACAACCCAATAACAAAATAGTCCCTTTTGGAATTAATAACAAAACAAGAAATAAACCAACTGCCATACACAAGTCTAGCAATAACTTTCAAATCTATGTTTTTCACATTTAGTATTTTTTCATGTGATATATATGCTATGAGAGAGAAATGTATTCTTCCTGCTTTTTTTTGTAACAAGAAAAGGAGTACTGTAACAAATGGCTACAATGTAATTTACATTTTCACATCCCCAAAGTATATTGTCACTGGAACAAAGTTGTACCTTGGTCTGCTGTCCAAATAGCCACTGTTAAATAATATGAAATAGTAAAGCAAAGTGGAACACAACAGCATCACAGTGATTATATATGGTTGTTTCCAGATATCAGATATAAAATATTTTATATATTTGCTTATGAAAATAATTCACTTTGATTTCAAATACATTTGCGCTTTTTTTCTGCAGAAAATTCAGTCAGAGTTGACAAGTCATGAGATTAGCTTGGATGAAATGAAAAAACGGAACCGGGGTAAAGATGCTGCCAAAAAAATATTCTCCCAAATTGATACTGCTCAGGTTTGTAAATTCAACTAATAGTTGTTAACAAGTAAAACAACTATTCTTCTTTACTTCAAAGTCCCCTCCCCATGACCAGTTCAGTGAGAAGGCTCTTTAAACTTGTTTTTTTTTCTTGAGCAACAACCACCTTTCCCATGTCACATAGTGAACTAATTTTGTAACTGAAGGAAATCTAAAAAGCATTTTTTTCTATGGCTTGTGAGTCAGTTGTTCCAAAAAGTAAGATCTAGTTTCTAGTCAAGTCTATATGGGTTCAGTTTGGTTACTCTGATAGATTTCAACAGGATTATAGGAATTGTGAAGGCCACTTAGTGCAAACTGGATATTTGCCTATCACCATCCTTGCTACTGAAGATCTGTCTTATCATAATTTGGATTTCTCTTGTTCTGGTTGTTAACAGCTCTTTATCTGAGTGTGGTTTCTACAAAGTCCTTGAAATAAGTGTGTTATAGGCACTTCTGGGATGGGGGGGACAGAGATAAGGAGACCAACTCCCCCATCTACCCTAGAGCCCATTTGGTTATTATTTGCCACTGAGACAATAATGGAGGTGGGTCCTAATGGACTCATGGCCCATATCCTTGGTTGCTGCTTAGTTGCCCTAGGACTTTGGGGAACAGAGGGAAGTTCTGGTAGAGAAGCTGCAACTGCAGGATCCTCAAGGGAAGTTCTGATAGAGGAGCTCCATCTGCAGGCTTCTCAGGGGCTGCCTCTGGAACAGATGGGTCAGGGGAATCTACCATGTAGGGGTTTCCTGGAGTTCCCTGCTCTCCCCCAGGCCTTGTTTCTGGTTCTTCAGGCTCATCCTCTGAGGCTTCTGAGTTGGAATCCAGAGCCAGCTCAGTGGGGGTCATCACATCTACTTGGAGAGACTGCCCATAGCTTTGCACCTGGGTGTCATCAAGATGCTGATAACACCCAACTATAATTATCTTTTAAATCTTCAGAATCTGCTGTTCCCAGTTCTATGGAAGCCTGGGATCCAACTCATTATGTTTTAGGACATTAAGCTGTTTTAGATTTTTTTTTCCTGTGGAAGAAATTCATGCAAGTAGTGAACCTATTTATAATATACTTGCAGAGTATTTACTGTAAGGAAATTCATTCATACCAGAATCACATTCCTACCTATTAGATAGTTTACATGAAATTGCTTACTGCTGTCAATTACATTTGCATGGGAGCTCCTATCAATCTAAAGAAGGCCATAGCTTCTGCATTGTACAATGGCTTACCATCAGGCAATTTGATTTCCAGACTGACCTTTTTGTATCAACCTTTGGGCCCAATTACTTTTGTTTAAAAGGTCAGGTAAGAGATCCTATGTCAGTCGCTATAGCCTTGTGCATAGTCTCAAAACGATAGTAAAGGACACATTCAAGACCTTCTTAAATATTTAGAAACATTATTGTCCTATGTACCTTTTAAAAGGTTTTAGAAAACCATGCTGGCACTTGCATTTATTAGTAAATACAGTGAAGCAGAAGGTGGCTCACTGTGCATACTTTGTATCCAATCGTGTCATATTGTCTTTTCAGAAAAAACTACAAGATGTCTCCATAAAGTTTCGCTTGTTCCAGAAGCCAGCCAATTTTGAGCAGCGCTTACAGGAATGTAAAAGAATTTTAGATGATGTAAAATTGCAAGTGCCAAAGTTGGAACTGAGAAGTGTTGAGCAGGAAGCAGTGCAGTCACAGCTGGATCATTGTATGGTCAGTATTGGCAGTATGCTACATTACACGTAATATGACCTCTCAGACTAGTCTGTCTTCTGCTTGAATGCTTTCTGTTTTTCTGCTTTGCCTAGAAATTGTATAAGACTCTTAGTGAAGTGAAATCTGAAGTGGAAACAGTGATAAAAACTGGCCGTCAGATTGTTCAGAAGCAGCAAACTGAGAACCCAAAGGAACTAGATGAAAGACTTACAGCTTTGAAATTGCAGTACAATGATCTGGGTGCCAAGGTATGTTGCTCCAGTTTCAGTGCAAAATTAATTGCTGATGCCATGTCTATTTTACAAAGTGAAAGATGTTTCTTCTTATCTTAAAGTAGCCCTGTTTATGTTTACTGTCTTAAAGGGAAATAACGAAAGATGTGCATCTAAAAAAATTGCATTTTTTTTAGATTGGGGTATTGGGAGCTGAAAAATATTGGTGTTCCAGGTTTCTCGATACTGGATTTTGGGGATTCCAATATTTTTAGTCCATTATTTCTTATTGGGAATCTTTCAGAAGAGAGAAAACAAAAATAAAAAGTAGTCCTGGGAGTCTTCAAACGCTGGCTCCTGATACTCCCAGTTAATCCCGAATATTTCCAAAATTTGTTGGGACGTATTTACTGGTATCCTGGAAAATCTCAGATGCCACCTGGAAACCCAGATATATCTGAAGAATAGCCATAAGGTATTTTTTGGATATATATTCAGCTTGGCTGAACGCACGTTCCTAGAAAGAATATCTATTACATTAGGTGACAACTAAGAGCAGCCCAATTAAATATTAAAAAATATAAACTATTCTTTTTCCTATAAGTTTGAATCTTCTATGAAACATATTGCATTCCTTCAGAAAAAATAGTAGCTAGACTTTGGTGTCTGTCATCTATTGTTCATTTTTAATGGGAGGGTAAAGAGAGACAGTACAAATGTGTGATCCAAACCCAGAAACTTCTGATTCTCTTCGCCTCTGGGTGAAAACTTTTTTTGAGCAGGTGATTCCAACTTGAAAATTAACTTGGAAGGACAGAGGGTTAAAGAGTCTCTCCCCACCAGCCTGCAAATCAACCTTGCTAAGGCAATCTGCCCACAATTACTTTTTCCTAAAAAATGCAAACACAAGAAACATGGAGCATTGTGTAACACAGTTTTTGCAAATATTGGCTGTTTTGGAGATGACAAGCACAGTAACTGTGTGAAAAAGAAAGACCTTAAGATGGCAGTATTTCCTGATTTTCTTTTACAATGTTTAAAGTAAAAATTAGAGTGAGATATATAACTTTAGTCCATGAATCCATATAGCCATGGAATTATTTTAATACTTTTCTAGTTTAAATAGTGGCCTTGCAATAAAATATAAAATTAAAATTGCATCTGCTATTATTATTCTTTCTGAAAATTCAATGAAATATCTCTTGAGCACATAATTGTGTATGTTCTCAACAACTTAAAATGAAATATAAAAAAGGACAGTCATTTTATGATTAGAATTTTATGATTCATCAAAGAATCAAAGGAGCTAAGAAGCAGTAGTGTACAGAGGGGTAGTAGATCTGGCTCTTCTTAAAAATGTGGAAACAGTGAATTTCAGCAGATTAACAACGTAATCCTAAACGGAGTTATAGCATTCCAAATCCATTGAAGTAAATTGGTTTAAAGGAGTGAACTATGGTGCTGGAGAAGACTCTTGAGAGTCCCTTGGACTGCACGAAAATCAAATCAGTCAATCCTAAAAGAAATCAACCCTGACTGTTCCCTGGAAGGCCATATAATGAAACTGAAGCTCAAATACTTTGGCCACCAAATGAGAAGGGAGCACTCACTGGAGAAGACCCTGATGCTGGGAAAGATTGAAGGTCAAAGAAGACGGGGACGGCAAAGGATGAGATGGTTAGACAGTGTCATAGATGCAAGGAACATGAAGTTGAGCAAACTTCAGAGGACGGCGGAAGACAGGAAGGCCTGGCGTGATCTGGTCCAATGGGTGCGAAGAGTCGGACTCGACTGTGCGACTGAACAACAAAATTTTGTTTACGATTGACCTGTAAAAGTTTTCATGGAAAGCATTCTGTTGCATGTATGAAAAATTATGGAGGAATCAACTGAGTTGTAATGCAATATATTGTTAAAACAGTATCAAAATTATAATCCTTTCTTAATATGTCTTAGCATTGTTGCTAATTGATACAGCAGAGATTTACCTGTTTGTTGACTGGAAATGAACAAAAAGGGGTGGTGCTTATTATTGTTTTTACAGCATTACTTTTCAAAATAACTGTTTTCTCTTGTCTTTGAACATTAAAACTACAGTTCTGTTCACATTTAACTGGGAATAAGTAGCACCACACTGAAATCAGTGGGTCTTTTTTCTGCCTATTTAAGCAGGTCTTCTAGCCCTGCTCTTTCTAATTATATGAGCTTTCATAAACAGGTTTCTAAAAACACAAAATGAATAAGTACAAATAATAATTCTCAGGAATTTGAGGAAACATCTGCAATAAATTCCAGTATCATACCAGAATGCTGTGCCAAATTTCCAGTATCTGCTTCAAATTGCTGAAGGACAGCAGACATCATTTCACACTCATTCCTTTTGAACAGTTTCTGCATAGCCTTTGTTTCATTGAGATACAATGCAATTTGAAATTTAATTGAAGGCAAATTCAGATGACAACCATACAATTAATTTAAATAGCAACCAGGGCTGCGGTCACACGGAGCATCAGCTATGCTACAGAGGCGGAAGATAGGCGGATTTTCTGGGTGCAATCACACCGCAACATCTGTGAAGCGTTGAGCTCCCGAGGCTTCCCGCTGAAGATGCGGAGTTAAAAACTAGTACTTCCGAGGTACTAGTTTCCGGAAACCGCGGGGCAAGGGCTGGCGTCTGATCGTGTTTCCGGTGGTGGCATCCGGCGCCCACCCATGTCCCTTCGCAAACAGGGTTTTTTCCCCCCAAGTCTCCACAAGATGCGCACAAGCACCCAACGGCGCATGCGCACAAAGAGGAAAGTGAAAATGCCATTTTGGCTTTAAAAAAAATGACCCCGTTTGTCATGGCAGTGGCGCCTAGCCATTGCTGGTGTGATCGCACATGTGATCGCCACCCTTGTTTACCCGCCGGTGCCGAGGGAAGGACCCGTGGTGTGCCGCTGGCTCATCTGATCGCGTAATCGCAGATCAAACTGCGCCGGGGCAATTAGCCACGCCTCCCCCCCCGCGATATCCGGCCCGTGTGACCGGGGCCCAGGTTGGTCAAATTCATTGTATATTCATGATTTTTTTTTTTATTTGACTGTTCCTCTATGACCTTGATTGATAGAGAGATAAGGGCTACTCTCAGAATTGAATGAAAACAATGCGCCATATTTGCTCAGCTTCTAAATTCCAGAGCCTGTCATGAAGAGGTTAGGGGCATAAGCAGCCAGCCATTTTGCTTGCAGAAACTGAAATGCCCCAGGCTCTGTTATTCCTGGGAGGAAAAATCATGCAAGACAGCAAATGATACGTTGATTCCTTCTGTTCTGGGGTTGTTAACCTGTACCAGTTACTGAGCTACTTTTGGTACGCATTATAATTAAGGAAACTATGCAGTTTTCACCATACCCATTAATTCCCTTAACCCAAATTTGTTTCTGATACCAGACCAGTGTTCGTATATTGTGACAGGGTGTTAAGGCCAGTCACCAAGCCCTCAAGAGAAAAGTCATTGACCAGCCTCAATATCTTTCCACACTTTCCTTGCTCAATTACCTGCCACATGCAGGTTTTGCCCAATGGTGTTGAGCCTTTTTTTTTTTGCTGTTGTTTTTAATGCTACCACTGAGAATTCAGAACAGTAAGGTGACAGTGAAATGTGATTGAAGCATAATTAAATACGCATAGTCAGAGGTTAAGTCTAGTTTCATTCTGCTTCTTTCCTTTAAGCTAACTTTGAAAATTCAAATATGTAATTAATCTATGCCATTCAGTATCTGGTTGAACAATAAATGACTATGAAACTGTCAAAATATAGATCCTAATATTTAATAAGATATGGCATTGAACACTTATCAAATAGGCCAAATATTCCAACGTTGGATCTTGACATCTTGTTGAGGTAACTAGAAAAGGGTGCAGTCAATCTGGCAGCTGTACTTTCAAAAAAGAAAACAGGTGGCCAGTACATTCATGAGGAGTTGATAGTGGAGTTGTTTGGCAAGTAATGGGCATTACAAAAATTATAGTCAGTGTGATAGCAAGGAAAGGGATGTGACAGAGTAACACTTTTGCTGGTGAAACATTTTGAAGTTTAGGTTATCAAAATCTTTTATTTTCTTCCACTGCAGGTGACAGAAAAAAAGCAAGAACTAGAGAAATGTTTGAAATTATCTCGGAAGCTGAGGAAGGAAATGAATACTCTGACAGAATGGCTGGCAGTGACAGATTCGGAACTGACAAAGAGATCAGCAGTAGAAGGCATGCCTATCAATTTAGATGCTGAAGTTGCCTGGAGCAAGGTAATAATATATATTTTCCTCCCTTGTAAACTCGCATATGTTTTCCTGGAGTTATCTTGTCATCACAAAAACATTTTCCCCACAAAGCTGTAAACATCCTATAGTTTACACTATTTAAAGTTTTATTAACATATTTTATTCTGAATAATGTTTTCATTTTGTAGTATACTAAGAAATATGTTTTGACAAGAAAAAATTTAATCTAGAATTTATTAAATTTAACTTAAATTCTACAGCAGGGTGGGATTCAGGTGCTACATCACAATTTTAGGGGGGCCCCAAAAAGTCAAGACAACAACAGCAAAATGCTAGGTACCTTTTTATAGTTTCAATTTAGAAGTTGGATACAGGTGGGCAGCCATGTTGGTCTGGAGCAATAGAATGTTTATTCAACGTATGAGCTATTATGTGCATGCACAAAATGTATCTGAGGAAGTGTGCATGCACATGAAAGTTCATACCTTGAATAAAACTTTGTTGGTCTTAAAGGTGCCACTGGACGAACTTTGTTCATGTAGAAGTTGGTTAGTTTTCTCTTCACAGGTTTCCATTTTTCCCCTCTCAGACTTAATTTGAAAACTTAATATAATGACAAATATCTTTTATTGGCATACAATATTAAAAAATACATTGCCAGTATTAATACAATCCAGTAGAGATTATAATGTAGTATCATCTAATAACTGCCCCATGATTTATCATGTTTTGCCAATTAATCTTTTAGATTTTACTACATAAATGTTTATAAAGCCAGCCACCGAAGTGTTGCTAACTTTTTTACACTTCCTGTCACAGAGAACTATCCCTAGAAAAATGAACTACTTTTTATTACTGATATAGATATCTAAAGCTGAATTTACACATCAGCATAATCAACCATAGTGAAAAGGAAGGTGCCCTTTTCTTCACTGTTTGCACTTACTTTAATAAAAGGAACAGAGAACACAACCCTCCTCAAAGAAGATCACAGTCACTGAGGTCCCCCACTATTTGTTGTAAAATAGTCAAAAATTGTTTAATACTCAGACTATTTGATGGATCTTGCTCTATTGGAAAGAAGAGAGTTCTTTGCTTTTAAAAATACTTTATTCTAAGGGAAAAGGGTTCACGGGATTACTACAAATCAGCATAACACTAAGAGCTACATTTCTATGGTGACTCCAGACAAAACAAGCACACACGTAATGGAGGAGATTCTCTCCTTCTTCTTGACCCCTAGAAAGGAAGTCACCTGAAACAAATGATCAACAACACTATTATCTCCTTCTTCTGCCAGCAGCAGCCCAAGCTGTGGAGCAGAGGCAACAAAATGCATGGCATGACATTATGGAACAGATAAATATGCCTAAATGTTAAGTGCAGAAAATTCAACATGGGTAGGGCTGCCAACCTCCAGCTAGCAGGGTGGCATTCCTATCTTTTGAGAAATCGGAAGCCGTCCCAACTCCGCAGCCATGACCATTTAGTCAGAGGAAGCTTCTGGGAAGCAATCCAATCCTAAATTTTCACAAGACTAACAGGAAGAAGACACCACAAAACATGTCCTAGCATGAGTGACACACAACTCAACAAGCAAATCCTTAAAGTGGGCTTAATAACCAAGGATATGTTGGCAATTCATGCTTTCTCAAGTTTGGAAGATAATTCTTGTTTAAACTCTTAGCCAAAGAAATAGTGTAACCTTTTGAGTTATTCATGCATATAGCTTTAATGAAAAAAATGAAAAAAAATATAAACAAGCAATAGTTTTCGTTATACACTTCATGGTTGTATTTTGTTTTTTCTTATCAACTCTTCCCGTGAACTCCTTTTGTTACTAACCTCCAGGTACGGTAGTAACTGGAAATCTCCTGGGATTACAACTGATCTCCAGGCAATAGAGATCAGTTCACCTGGAGAAAAGGGCCTCTTTGGAAGATGGATTGTAGGGCATCATACTCCACCGAAGTTCCTCTCCTCCCCAAACCCTACCCTCCTCAGGCTCCACCCCCAAAATCTCCAAGTATTTCCTAACCCAGAGCTGGCAACCCTAAACATGGGGCTGTTGTTTTTAGTGGTAGCTGTGTGTTAAGCATTGAGTCTAGTTAAACACACTGAATTCTCTGGTGGCCATATCACAAAGGTTACAGGGAAACCCTGCACGTCTCACTCGAACAAAAAACATTGAGTCTAGTGCCACAGTTTGAAAAGTACAAGATTGGCAGTACAATTCTGAGCAGCTTTATACCTTTCTAGGTCCATGGAAGTCAGTGGGCTTAGAAAGGTGTAACTTGGCTTAGGAATGCACTAAGAGTATTAAGAATATAAAACGCACTTGTTAAAGAAGATGATTCTGTAAACATAATTTGTATTGCTTGCCATACAATCAATTAATAAATAATTTGTATTGCTGATAAAATAATGTGTAGGTCCTTTATCTTGCTCTATTGTGTATCTTTAAAGGCATACTTAAGATTCCTCTCACAGTTTTACAAGGACAACAACTTTATTATATGGGTTATGCAAGATTGTTTGGAGAAGAGAATACTCATGGGGTGCAATGTAATATAGGAGGAGTCAGGCTTTCCCCCACTCATGTCTTCTTTATGGATCTTTCTTTCTTAATCCTTCAGAGATTCTTAAATTTACACTACACTGTTGTCATTCCAAAGAAATGAAAGCTAAACTTTAATGATTTTTGCATTTTTATTTTTAAGCTATGGAGTAGAGGAGGCATTCTTTTTCTACTTTCTGTAAGCTCAAATATACACTTTAGAGAAAACACAGTGAACAGTATTTGTAAGCCTTTAGAAGTGTTGTATAAACAGATATAGAACTATGAAGGGTTAATTCTTTACAGAGCCAGAGAGCCTTGAGTGACAGGCTGCTCCAAGCAATCAAATTGGTTAGCATCAGCTAAGCAGAGAAGGTCTTGAGAGAACTGCATGCTGAGGAGGGATTCAGTCTGATTTTTGCATTGACTGACTTGAGTACTAACAGTCTGATTTCAATCCTTGCAGAGAAAAGTCAAGTACTGAAAGTTTCAACATTCACCCTTAGCTGAGAGCAGTTTAACACAGACAGGAGAAATGGGGGGAAAGTTGGCAAGGAAGAAGGAGGAGGAGGAGATTGGATTTATACTCCGCCCTTCAGTCAGAGTCTCAGAGTGGCTTACAAACTCCTTTCCCTTCCCCTCCCCACAACAGACACCCTGTGAGGTAGGTGGGGCTGAGAGAGCTCTTTCCAGAACTGTCCTTGAGAGAACAGCTCTGACAGAACTATGGCTTGCCCAAGGTCATCCAGCAGCTGCAAGTGGAGGAGTGGGGAATCAAACCCAGTTCTCCCAGATTAGAGTTTGCACACTTAACCAGTACACCAAACTGGCTTCGGGAAGTGGGCAAAGACTTGTATTTGAGCCAAGGAAAGGGGATAAATCTAGAGAGAGGAAAATTCCCTATCCAGTCAAAAAGGGAGTTGGCTCTGAAGAGTACAGAGATCCCTGGTCTGGGGAAAATCTTGCCTCGGTGGGAGGGAAGTGGATGTGGCCTCATAGTAACCTAGGGTTGCCAGTTCCTTTTCTTCTGCTGGTGGGGGGTGGGAGGGAGCTTCCAGGGAGTGGGGGGCAGGGCAACATCATTGTATGTGATGTCCCTTGCGTGATGAAGTGACGTCATCATGCCAGGGACATTGCGTGGCAACACTCTGGTTACAATAGGGTTTTGCCCCAAATACCAGAGTGTTGCCACATGACGTCCCCAGTGTGAGGATGTCAGTTTGGTATGACATCATCATGCCAGGGATGCCTTTTGTTGGTATCCCATTTCAATTCCTTTTGCCGCTGAGTGTGGGAATGGAACAATTAGGTGATGTAAAAGTATGTGGTTTGTATCACCCCATACACCACAGTTGTAACTTAACTAGACAAACCTATAATTAATGATTGGATCCAGATACATCACATTGCATACTGACTGTGTACAGAGCCATATAATTAATATATGAGATTTGCTTATTAGAATGAGTATGAAGTAGAGTTTCATTTCTCTGTTCCTAGTTTCTTATTACAAAAAGGTAACTCTTTCCTCTAAAAAAATCAAAGGGAAAGATTTTATTAAAATTTCACACACATGAGAAATGTACTAATCAACTGTAATATGCTTGCTAGCCTACCAAAATACAGTCCAATCACCACTGTTCTATGAGTGAAGCTCATGTTGTAGTGATCATAGCAGGGAAATTTTAACAAGAAAATTCTGATTTCCAGTTGAATATAAAAATGTTTACTACATTCAGTTTAATATGCTAAATTAGAGGTTCTCGAACTCTTACTCAAAAAGAGAGGGCAGTCACTTGTGGTCCTCAGAGAACTTAGAAAAATTCTGCATGGAACTAAAATGAATCTAAAAAGCAGCAATGTGACCTGTGACATGGACCAGGTTGTAGCATATAGCTGACAATACTTCATATTTGGAAATTTAATAAGGAGGGGGGATCATGGAAGTCAGCTGTCTTGTACTTATAAGGAATCCCAACCAGTCTCTGGAAAGGATGTATATGCTCCTAGCTAGAGATTATGCCTTCTTTAGCTACCTGACATGTGCCTGCGCATTCCCCACCAGTGCTCTGGCTGTCACCTCCTTTCCCTGCCAAATCCATTCTCTCTTGGGGCCACTTTGAAAGAGCATGTTCACACTGTGTTAATGGGCTAGGGAACAACTGGTTGACATTAAACAATTTGTTCTAAGCTCTTGAGCTCATATTCCTGTTTATATTATTGGCCTGCTCTCAGGTTCAGAATGCCAGATGGCACTCTCCTGAAAACCTCTGTGTCATTTACTACTGCAATCATACTTGAACTGGAAATACATTATTGTTATATTTTAGTTATCAGGATATAATACTAATGTAAAAACCTGTTGGAATATACTGAGTTATGTTCATAGCGCAAGTTTGCAATATATTTCTTATCAATGGGCTACATACTTGGCAGCTCAAAAATAATAAGTGTGCCTAAGATAAAT